ATATGATAAATGTATTGATATATCAGTCGTTTTGACGTACAGATGTCGTAGTGTTGTGTAGAGAATCGCTACGTTTCTCAGTTGTGAGTGATCCTTTCAAAACTCTGTATCTACAAGCGGCCATTTACTCTCCTCAGTCTATATAACAAAGTTATGACTGAAAATAATACTAAGCATCAAAATGATTGATGGTTATATTTTAAYTATTTGTTTATTCGTTTTTGTTTCTGCAGCTCTTTCAGATGTTTTATCAGGTCTATGAATACATAAGATGGGACAATGTACTAGAATGGGTTACTTACGTCTCTTCAATTATATATGTATCTACGGAGTTTAAAGGAACAGAATCTCTTGGGGTGAAGAAGTATGTATGCTGTATAAATTTCCCGTACGGAATGCTCATAATATATTCCGGGACATCGCCCTTAGTAGTATAGTATGGATGAAATGCCACTTATTTTCCGCATTTCAACCATTTTATACTAGGAACTCATTTTAATGAGTTATATATTATAGAGGATATATGAAATGGACGCGCGGAGCGATGACGGATTTTATCTTYGAGTGGGTTTAACGAACAAGTGAGAWATTTTCAAGAAGATAAAATTCGTATCTTCAAGCTAACATGTGATATGTGAYGAGTTGAATATCGTTTTTTCGAATGAAATTCATGCTGGAATTCCCGAGTCATCCATTGAATTTTTCTTTAATTCCATATCTAGATAGTAATAACCCATTTTTGGYKAAAAAAACAGTGYCAGTCTGTCATTTTAAACGTTTTGTGCGTACCCGGTGAAAACAAAACGCGGGATCCCTGRTTTTTCATTGAATTCAGTTTTTCACCGCCCAAAAAATATTGGTCGTTTTCATAGAACAGCGATATTGTAACAAAGCCTGCATATCATTTTTAGATTCTCTACAAAAAGAGCTTCTATTCTTGTTACCCAAAATTGTTATTTGTCAAAAAAAAAAAAAATGAAAAGAAAATACGACAAAAACAACATTCAATCGCGCGGGATTCCTGATTTTTCATTGAATTCAAATTTGAAAGCGTTGGATTCCACGCTGAATCCTTTACTATGTACGTCACATTTTCGTCATCTCGGACCAATCAGCACGCGAGTTTATTATGTGATATGGGATTCTATAGTTAATTACATGATAAATATACTATTGATTATTTTTCTTTCGGCTTTGAATCTCAATGTATTGGTTATTATGTTTCAGGTGTTCAGATTCTCATCCCAGTGTTGGTGCGGTATCAATATTCTCGGCATGGATGTGCTTATTGCTGTTTATCAGGAAATTTCCCAAACTTGGGATTTACGTTGTGATGTTCACTGACATTCTCTACACCTTTGTCAAGTTCTCTTTGATTTTTGTCCTGTTCATTGTGGCTTTTGCTTTGTCGTTCTACACGTTACTTGCAGATCAGGTAAAAGAAAGAAGCCATATCATGTTATTTAAAAGAGAGCAGAGAGCGACATTCACGGAGGTTTAGCTAATATACTTTGCATGTCTTGAAGTAAATGGTGGTATCATGTTAACCATACAAGGCTGGTCCACACTCGCAAACTTACTGGCAATACTTGCTACAATTCTGGAGATGTTTAAAAATATAATAAATTTTGAGTTACCCCTTTGAAACGTTTTGTTAGCTCCTCTCAGAAACCCTGAATAAAACCTTAAAAGTCGATTCTTTAACATGAATCACTATTCGTCTATGTTGGAGAAATTAACAATAGATACTTATGGGAAATCCTTTCTTGAAGTTCCTCCAAGATRGCCGCTGTGACGCATAGTGAGAACTAAGAATAAGCCACGATTCATTTATGGAAGATTGGCGCTTTCCTTCCTTTCCTCGCCAGCTTAAATAATGATAATTTGTATACTTTTCATTTCTTAAACAGGCCTCGTTTAAGTCTGCCGGAAGAGCATTAGTTAAAACTGGGGTCATGATGATTGGCGAATTTGARTACGACGATTTGTTCGGGAAGGAATTACCCGCGCTGTCCTGGGCCCTGTTTGTCATCTTCATCATAGTCATGACTCTGATCCTCATGAATCTCTTGGTATGYATACTCCGCTCACYGGATTCAGCTGCTATTTGTCAATAAATGTTAATGAACTTCGATGCCGAGTACACGTCTTGTTGAAAGAGAGTTATTTCAAGCTCAAAAAGCTTACATTATACTTCTATCTGTTTTCCAGATTGGATTAGCTGTAGATGATATCAAAGGCGTGCAAGATCAGGCTCTTCTTAAACGACAAGCAATGTTGGTATGAGGCTAAATCAGTTATCTTTAATATAACAACAACGACAACCAACARAAAGCAAACAAAGGCCGAGAATAATAACASAGCATGGTCAAATTAAAAMCAAAGTAGAGTGAAAAGAGAWTATGGTCAAGTTAACCTGCATCTAATGATTGTCTCCCATGTGCAAGGGCAGCGGAGTCAGTATTAATCATCGTTTAACATTTTCTTATCCATCTATACTATTTTAAAGAATCGGCCCTACSTTCTTCGCCGTATCGTTTCAATGTTTCAGCTGAATATTTAATTTWCGAAATAAAYTCAGAATTTTAAATAGCAAGTCTCCTGTTGCTAGCTTGCTTTCTTGCTTCCTTGSCTGATTTRGTTATCAAATACGAGGATGAGTGATTGAGCGTATTCATTTTTTTGGTTAATTTTCAGGTTGACCTGGCACTCGATGTTGAAAAAGCATTTCCTCGAAAACTGCGAAAGAATCTTCTCGTTTTACAAGAAACGTACTATCCCAACAGACATCGAGGGATAATGAAATATTTTAGTCCACCACCACTATCTCCACTTGAAATGAAGGAAGCTTTGGAACTTGAAAAGGTTTGAAATCAATGAWAAGTGCTTGTATTTAAAATATTATCTTTTGTTTTAATAAAGCRTTGTTTCAATCATTTGGCCTCTCTATAAACGAATAGTGGACTTGGTTTCTAAACTTGATCTTGTTAGAAAATGAGAAGAAAAATTCAGTACGTTTTATAGAGTTTAACATATCATACTTGTAAATTTGATGTGATCTTCTTGTGATGGGGTATATTTCTTAATGAGGTTAACTTTAGAAACTCTTTCCTAATCCTGAAATTGGACTATTTTGATTTTGTTTATTAATTCTCCACATTCTTGATTTGCAGCCGATGTGGCAGAAAGTCGAAGAGCACAATGAGGATCTTGACAAAAGCATCAAAGCTGTGAAAAACCGTCTGAAAGACATGCAGACACAGCAGGAATACTTACAAGCTATGCTACAAGCCGTTGTCATGAAACTGGAGATTAGTCTCGAGGACGACGCTGGAGATGAGGAAGAACTTCTTATTCCCAATGTCCCACATGTTTAAATACATGAGCGATGCATGGTTTCATGGAATGCAATCGGTACATTCTTTTCATGAACTTTGATCATCTGGAATGGTCAAACTCACAGTTGTATCTTTCACAATCATCTGCGACATCTTACAATTAAGAGGACGAAGGGAAAATCCTGTTCAATAAAGMATGATCTTGAGCAAATCTAAATCCGAWCAATTACACTCTCAGCTAGTGGTCTTGACTGGACTCGAACCCGGAACCTCGGGTTGCTTTTGAGTAAATTCGATATAGAATCGCCACTTGCTCTACTCCGACCCCTTCCGCTTCTTTCTACAATCGACCTGATTTTTAAGTCATCTGCTATAACCCACTACATATCAACATTTTACATGCAAACACTCTGGTATTAGTTTTGTATACAGCAATATATATATAAGGTTTGAATTTATTCTCATAGAAAAGTCAGTTGCCAGACAACATGTAAGTCGAATTATTTAATAATAAATTTGCACAAAATATATCAGAATGTTGGTACATGTATCTTTCTCCCTTTCGTTCTTTCTCCCTTTCGTTATCTCTCACTTTCGTTATTTCTTTCTTTCTTTAAGAAGACGAAGAAAGAAGCATAAATATTATTTGATATATAAACATTTGTATGATCTATCAATCACGTACCTTACAGACAATGTTTGCAATTCATAAAGCAAAATATAGATTAATTGGAAAAATGCCATTTTGTATTTACAAACGAATTCGTATAATGCCTCATTCCTGGTTTAGTTGGTATATTGTATTTGTTGATCCCTGAGTGTTTTTTTTAAAGTAGGGCTCAAAATAGCGGCCTCCACGTGCCAAATGATGGGGCAAATTTAGTACTTTGCAGGCCAAATAAATTGTAGCAAAAGAAAGTGTCAGGCCAAAAATATCTACTGTGTATRTGCAATGAATTCCGGATTATTTCACAATCAAAATGAAAATAAATAAATATAAAGTTGGAAGTACTATCAATTTGGAAAGAGTTATTTTTACTGTCATCTTCGTGAAATTAGAATTCATCGATGTTTGTTTGAATGTGGACAGCAGGTTTTTTAAAAGTAACAATTAATGCGCGCAAAAAGCAGGTAACTTTCTATTGTTCTGCGGCAATTGCAACTTCCCCACATGCAAATGTCTTGGTTTTCACACTGATTATATATCAACCTATGGGTAGCACATTTTTAAAATAAAATGTGGATAAACTCTGTTTTGAAACAAAGTTTCTTTTGTATTAAAAGATCTTGTCCAATCATAAGCACTAAAAACAATAGCCAAAAAATGCTTCTAATTTACTATGTTCCCCACATAGAATTTCTATTAATATTAAAGCTAAGGAAATCTTTTATGAAGTCGGAATCAGATATTAAATAAAATATTAAAAAATGCGCTTACTTTTGAAATTATGTCAAATTTTAATGTTTTAACCAATGAAATGGATGGATTATACAATACAAAATTAGCACCTTCATGCATTCCATTGCCGTTTGCTTGCCTGTTTCTTACTCGGACCATTACTTAATTCTCGTATATTTTACCAATCATGCATTTGGATGCCTGAACTACTATTGGGTAGCGAAGAAGAAAATGTCGGAGTATACATGCAAAAGTATTCGTAGGAATGAAWAGTTTWACTTGCTTACATCTAATTGCTTGGTAGGCTAAATATTTATTCTATTTCGGACCCTGAAAAGTGAGATCCAGTCGAAGTTATAAAAAGATGATATGTTTTCATTTTCTCCCGTAAAAATCGTGATCGAACATGTTGCTATACAATATTGGTCTCAACCAATAATAGGTTGYGTCACATCGGAGTTAATTACCGATGAGAAAATGTTCACATAAGGCATACAATTTGTAAGCACGAGTATAATTTATAGAAGCAAACTATAGAAAAATGATAGTGAAAATTTCCACRTAACAGTTTCCACTGAACAGTTTTGTACAAGCATTCTTTTGCCTGAGGCAAACCCGCGAAGCTTGATATTAACCTGGCACTATCCAATGAAATCCAAGACGTGGACAGGTTGTTTGCATAAAAAAATGTAAAGAGGGGTCCTCATTAATCTCTTAAAGTAGATCTTGACCGGCAGTGCAGCCAAAATCGCTAAAGGCGTTATGACTCTGAATATGCTSTATAAYGATRACACACTTGCCTACCGAACAGGCAAAGCAGTGCTTGAGAAAAATGGTCTAATAATATATGGTATAAGCCCTGGTAATCCATATTTCAAAGCCAAAGTAATTGAAGACTACATGCGATATTTGGGTAAAGAGAAAAGGCGTATTATAGTAAAYATTCCAGAGGAGATATCCGAACATACCTGTAAGGCTATTGGTAGCAAGAATCCTATTAAACGTGCAAAAAACAACGCAAAGAAACTTAGAAAATTCTTCAGAAGAGCTTTTGAAAAGGTATTTAACAACTACTGACTACGACGGCGGGAGGACTACAAGTTGACAGTCCATGAGGCAGTAATATAACTCTATGCTGTTCCAGTATCTCCCAWAATTTATTTTTTCACTGAACCTTTATTAGTTTTTCTTGACGCTGTAACATGGGTGGACGACAGTTCAATAGCCAATCAGAATAATGTATTATTATCATTATTTTAAAGTTTGAATTTGGTGGATACTAATGGACAACTCCAATAAATTATCCAACTAGAACGTTATAGCATTTTCTCCTTTTCGTGAGTTCCAGCAGACTGGACTTACATGGTGCAGGACACTTACCGATAAGTGAAGAAGAATAAAAAMACGGTCTGTGATTTTGGATTATAGGAATATCTACCGTCCGTACCTTTCAGATATATAAGGATATGATTTCCATGCTTAGAACGTCGCACTATCAAATTTATAAAGTATGGGTGTTTCTTCMAAAGTAATTTTGCTATAAGAACAAGACTTTCGGAGTATCGAGGCAAATTTACATTTAGCTGTAATAACCATGGCTTTTCTAAGATACCCAAAATATGCATAGCTATCAACCAACTGCATGATAAAACAGCTACTTGTACTTCTGAAAATGTGAAACCTCACCCCTTACCCTTAAAACAACAATCATAAAGTCATATACTCTAAATGCAGTCATAAGCGTTCTGGCAAAACTCTCAAACGAACTCGTTTTTTCTTAAATATTGGAAGAGTTCTGAAATTCTGTCATTTTGTAATCTTATAGCTTTCCAAAAGTAATGAATTGGTTGGAGAGTTCTATCTGTTGGACTGGAAAAAGGATGTCTTCCCAAACAGTGCCTACATCGCATCTTTGGAAGTCTTCATGAAACTCTTCCAAGGACATGCTATGTTTCGCTACGATGCTTCTAGAACAACAGCCATGGTGTTGGGTAG